ATCTTTCGAAATCGCCTTTCAGCAATGCCATTGTTTTTATATCAATTGATACGCTAAGAGCAGAAAAGAGCTGTCCTGGGTAAAACTGCTCCCGAAGTCTATTATATGGCACCGCTGATTTCTTTTTAATACATTTCTCTCAATTTCACAACTTGCGGTCGATTTCACAACTTGCGGGTTTCTTGGAAAGGTAAAACATATTTCTTGGAATCTCCCGTCAATGAATGATAAATCTTTCTTGAAGGAGCCCAGGAAGAGCTATCAGGGATCCAACCGTCAGAGCTACGTCGTTTCTTCTTCCTCACAAAAATTCTTCGCACTAAATAATTTTTTCAATTTGTTTTCGGGGGTCTTGCTTTTCCAGTATTCGTTCAGGTTCTGCTCAACATCTCTTAATAAATTTGTTCGTGTTCTGTTTTAAGCGAGCACTCTAAATAGAGATTTCATCATCACGTAAGAAGTGACAAAAGACTGCTATGTAATCTCACTTTTACAACGCGATTTCGACATGATGCGACCATAAGACTATCAGCCTATTCTCTCCCGAAATTCTGAATGCATTTGTTTATAGTGGCTAGGCACTCAAAAGTACCCCTCTCTGCGAACCTTAGCAGACTTCTGGGTGAAGCGGTATCGTGTGTAGAAGATGAAAAATGTTTTCATTACGTTCTTCTTAAGTAAGATCATAGATAAGCTGTAGTGCACGCAATAGCGTGCGAAGCTCAACTGGTAATACATAACAGCGTTGCCATCAAAGCAGTTGACGTTGTTTTAGTACTGGGGCACTCATTTGACATGCGTGACTGGGAATGAATTCTGCTAAGATCTCAGCAGCCTGCTCATCTCTGTAGATCATTTACTATAAAGCTGGTTGGTAGATAACTGCGTTTTCATCTCCTCCCCTCCTCCATTCCTCTCCGATGAACAATTCTTTGAAAGAGGGATCAGTATGGTAAGCCAAGTGTGTTTCGTAGGGATATCCAAAGAAATAAATGGTGAAGAAGGAACGGTTTTTATGCGAAAATGGCCTTTTTCTCATTCCTTTTTAGGCTTAATCACAATGTGCGGACGTGAAAGCGATCGAAATCCCGAACACACTCTGATACCACGTGCACCTTCCCTCTCTTGTAAAGCGAAGCTGGTAGTGTACGCCACAGAAGTGATAGTGAATCAGCTATGTTCGAGCTATGTTTTCTGTTACATGAGAGGTGGGCCTTAAGTAATAAAACACACTACATCGTAAGGGATAAAGGATAAATTTTTTGGCGTTGGCCAATCCCGTCTGGGGGGTTGCGCCACCCCATACCTGACTTCCATTCAGAATTGGAGTGGCGTGATGAGTGCGTACGTAGCCTGTACAATGAATTGCGGTGGCCAGCCGATGTACAAGTCAGTACTTCCATTCTTCCAGAAGAGTCTGGTCCCAATGCACCGATCCCGAATTGGTGGAAGGCTTAGCTTGCCTAGGCGGATATCGATACGGGACTCGAACCCGTGACTATGGTGTGCGCACCATAGTCACGAGTTCGACCAATAATATGGTCTGTCGGTTTGTAAAATCAAGGTCGCCTTAGTGGCCTTCAGTGAAAAGGTAATTGTGTTAGAGAAACTGCTGGAAGAGATGGAATATGGAAAACAAAAGCAAAAGAGAGTCAAATTGCGAGGCGATATCACTCTATAACAAAGCTGTTACTGTGACAATGAAACCTTCACGCGGTTTTCCTCGACAGCTATTATGTAAGCTGACAGATCCTCATTGTCGATGAAATGCACGGAGAAAGAAGAAAGGAAGGAGGGAATCATTCTTTCACTAACAGAAACAACCCCTCTCCCCCCATCCAAAACCTACCACTGGCCTCGAAGCGGTGAGGGGACGAAACGGAAGAAATTCCGAGGATCGGTATATCAGCTTCAACACGTACAATGAGGGTCCGGAGCGGCGCTGATGGAAGCAGTAGGCCTAAGTGCACTGAAGCAAACGGCGACCTGAAGAAACCTGTAGACATAATCCGCCGCAGGATTTGTAGTGCACAAGACGAAAAGCCTTCGAGGCATGAAGAGCGCCTACGAATTTGCACCTACAACTGCCGTACCATTGCTTCAAAGACGAACCGGACTATCCTGAATGAGACCGGAAGAAGCTTCGCTTCGACATCATTGCCCTCAGAAGACGAAAACTAAGGAAACGGTCATCAAGAAGACCAGCGACGGGCACCTATTCGTTCTAGGAGCGAAAGCTGATGGAAGAATTGTCAGCGGTGTCAGATTCTCAATCCATTGTCAAAGCGAACATCTGGTCGACTCACTCGGCCCACGACTGGCCATTCTCCGCCTACGCATCGACAAGTGCACCACCGCCAGCATTATTAACTGCTATGCGCCCACGACAATAGCAACCGACAGAGAAAAGGACTCCTTTTATAAAGAACTGGAGGAGATTACGAAGAACGAGCGTTCATACTGCACATACTTGTTGGAGACTTCAACGCAGTCACCCACGAACAAAGACCGGCGACAGCACGCACTAGAACACATGGAATCGGAGAAACGAACGAAAACGGAGAGCGATTGATGGACTTTTTAGAGGCGCGCCACCTATTTCACGGAAAAAGCTTCTTCTGGAAAACGGGGGCCGACGTTGACATTGGAGAGCCCCAATGCAGCGGCTCGCAGCGAAATCGACAACGTTCTCACTAACAGAAAGTAGGGTCTGCTAGACGTCATTGTGGTAGATGCGTTCCGCACCGGAAGCGACCATAGGCTTGTCAGAGCCAAAGTCCGCCTACTAGCGAAACTTTGAAGACGTGATCGCTTCCAGCCTCCCTCATACGATTAGCGCGATATGACATAAGCGCCATGGAGGTGGCCGCTGCTCAGTACACGTGGCAGGAGGTACAGGGTTTGTCACAAGATTACGGCTTGCTTGTAAAAGGACTTCTACACTGCGCAACGCATCGGCTGTGTCAGCAAGGATGAACTCGAGGAGCACGATCGATGAAAATGCTCGTACACTCCTCCAACAACGGGCTGCCCTTTACCGTGACTCTGCATCTACTACACTTCTGGATCGTGCTCAATAAAGCGTGCCGCATCGTTGTGAGAGAGTCGATACAGCGATACAAAGACCCCCGACTGAAGGAAGCAGCAGAGACGAGCGCGAGCCTCAAGTGATGATGACGTAAGGACTTTAGTGACTCTCGCTCGGTCATCACCGTTATGAGAGACGCGATGTGCAGACCACAGGCATCGAGAACGAAGATCGAGTAGATTGCCGTCAGCTTCTTCCGCTCGACGGTACCGGTTTCCCATATCCCTACGCCAACACAAGAGGTGGCTCCGAGGATAGAAGAATGGGAGTAGAACGCGCCATACGTCAGATGGATCCGAGAAAGGCACCTGGGCCGAACCAAGCCTCAGCGGATTTCTTGAAGTCGGCTTCCTACACTATTAATAAGCAGCTCATCAAGCGCTTTAACAAGTACCTGGACGCTCAAAGGATACCGGACCACTGGAAGATGTTATATACGGTTCGTCTGTTCAATAAGGGAAAGCGTGACAAAATGAAAAACTACCATCCAATTGCCCTTCTCTCGCAGCGGTACAGTTTGTTTACTAAGATTATTCTAAAGCGTCTCGAGAGGCAACTGGGCGACTACCAACCAGTCGAGGAAGCCTGTTTCCGCAGAGGCTTCTGCTGCATGGATCATATCCACACTATCACGCAACTGATAGAGCGCGCCAAGGAATACAAACAACCACTCCTCTGCTTTATCGAATATACGAAGATATTCGACGGTGTAGAGCTCAGCACTCTGGAACGCATTGCACCATGCAGGAGTCGACCCATGTTACATCAACTTGCTGGAACAATGCAATACAGACACATTTACCACCACCGCATGTTCCAACAAGAACTGCGCGTGCCGACTGAGAAAGGTGGGGTGACACGATATCTCCTGAACCATTCACCACCGCACTGAACCACGCGATGTTGCAACTGGACTGGGACGATTAAAGCATCAACATCGACAGCAAGAAACTATCCAACTTGCGCTCCGTAGACGATATCGCCCTCATCAGCCAAAACCGAGAAGAGCTGCAGCAGATGGTGGAGGAGTTCTACCACATTAGCAAAGCTATTGGCTTCATGATGAACAGGAGCAAGACAACGGTCATGCGAAACGAAAGGGCAGTGCGTCACTCACCATACTCAAAGGAGCCACGTTATCGTTCACCGACTCCTATGTATACCTCGGCCGACTAATCTCCATGGATAACAGATTACAGCGTGATTGAGAGATTATGAGGCGCAGAAGATGCGCCTGGGCGGCAATCATAAACATAAAAGGAGCGGCTCACCTCGTATCAGCCAAGAAATACGAGCTGGTCTTTTTGGCTCTAAGGTATTGTCCGCACTCTGTTACGCATCCGAGACGTGGCCAGAGAACAACACGTCAACGCTAGTGTTGGTCCGCGCACAAAGAGCTTTGAAGCGGACGCTGCTGAACATCAACCGCGCGAAGCAGAGAAGACTCAACCTCCGCAGCGCAGACATGCGCACAATGTCCGGCATTCGTGACGCTGAAGTATATGTGTGGAATGCAAAGGAACGATTGGCAGGACACGTGGTCAGACGCACGGACGATAGGTGGTCCACATGCGTTACATTCTGGTAACCACGTTAGGTTGAACGCGCACTTGGCCGTCCTGCAACGAGATGGAATGACTCACTAAAGAAACTTCAGGGAAATGTTGGCCAACACTAGCTTCAAACCGCTCAAGATCGTCAAAAATGGATGGAAGCGTGTGCTCGCCGCTGAGGATTATCAGCCGACAACGAGCGCCCAAGTATCCAAGTAAGTAACGGAAACGAAAATTTATTACGGCACTCGGCTCGTACTGTAATCCGTCACGACACAACCTCATTTTAGTACGCAAACTCTGACTCCACATATACGACGCGTCAGAAAGGAGCCTCGGCAAGGACATGGGGTTGGTGGTGAGGAAGCTAGGGGGTTATTGTGAGAGCCGAATGCCCACATCGGATTTTCGTTTCTGTCTGTCACTATTGTGTGGCTGTGGTGAGGGAAAAGTGGAACCGATCATGACCGTAAATGTCTACCTCGATTTAAATGTCAAATGTTATTCATATTTGTAACGGTCGCATTCGTTTTATATATATTAGTGGTCTGTGAGGAACTAGGCAAACGTGGAAATCAGAAAATGGGTAGAAAATTTTTTTGGCACTGGGGTCCTTATTGAAACAGATAGGCAGACAATACAAGGTAAAGGGAACTGCCCAGGATTCGGTCGTCAACTGTTCGCGTACGAGGTCCGAATCGTTCACACAATACTACCGGGATTGGTCGCGTTAACCCTTTGATGACCATGGCACCCGCCGGTGGGTGCTACTATGACTGGCGCATGGTAACATGGCATCCAATGTTGGGTGTCACCATGTTTTTTCCTCTACTTGCAAATTCAAAATCTATTCAATATTTTCATATTTATTAACAAACGTCATGGTATTTATATTTAACATCGTCCACGTTCATGTTTGGCAAGACTTGTGTGGGTCGTGGAAGCATTAGAGGCAGTACTTATAACACCTGATTTGCGATTATGTGACAGCGCGGTTGATCTCTTCATCCTCAAGTTCTTCGGATGTTATACGAATTCATGCTGCTTACACTATCACCAAAATTCTACCTTAGCGCTCAAAAGTCCTCGGTCTAATGCTTTGACGCTTTTTCGTTCATAACGTTTTTATTAGTAGACCAATCGCGCATAATTTGGATACGTTTAAC